TTCGTTTTTTCTCTGCTGTTGATGTGACTTAACCATGAAGGCCATCAAAGAGAAGATTGTCTCGCTCAACTATGGGGACTTAAGAGTTGAGATCAAGTCGGTGGATTCATTGGAGTCTTCTGTAGGTGAAGTTCATGTTGTTGTCACTGGCCATCTCGTGGGGCATGACAATGTAGTTAAAAGTTTCACCCAACACTTCATTCTTGCTCCACAAGATAATGGCTACTTTGTTTTAAGCGATCTGTTACGATATGTGGATACTGATAACAAGAACCCAACTTTAGGAAGTGATATTTTGGTGCGTCCCATCACAACACCAGGTAACCCTACCCCTCCTGTACATTTTTCTTTTCTTGTTCTATCCATTGCTCTCTGAGTTAATATAGAGGAATCAGCCATTGCACAGGATGGCGACGGTGTGTTCTTTGGTGGAGTAGAAGTTCCAAGATCCGATTTCGCTGATGAGGTATGGAATAATAAAGAGCTGGTGGTTAAATCCAGTTCCAAACACGATCAAATTTCGAAGAATTCATATGCGTCTGTTGTACGTAGTGATGGCCAGCTTTAAAAATGAGTGTATCTCTTAGATTTATTTTTTTTTTCGTCTGTTTTATCCATTTTATCTTTGCCATTGAACCTTATATATAAAATCAAGGTATAACCATAAACACTGGCTGGATTATGTGTATTTGTTTTTTGGAGTCCGTTCCTTGCTAAATAAATTAAGGTAGGTGTGAGTGTTTCTGATTCCCTGTTTATCTCTACTTGTTCCCATTAATTTTTATTTTTTTTTTCTTATTATTTTTTCAGCTGATGGATCTCGAGGGAGCTGCTGCAAGTTTTTCTCCCCCTCCAATGGATCCTGGAAACACACTCCTAAACCGTGGACACAATCAAAAGGGTGAATGATTGATTTCAGAATTGTTTTATATGCATGTTCATTTTTCATGTATTATCTTTAGTTGAATCTATCTTCCCGTGTCTTCGGTTGATTATCTTTTTAGGTTCTTTTTTTTTTTTCTAAAATTGTAGCCTTGTGCTGTATGCAGCCAATTATTGCTCAATATATATGAGGAGGCTTCCAACGAATGCTACTGAGACGTCACTTGAAGATGTGTTCAAGAAATTTGGGCTTACTCAGAAATACATAAATGAAGCTAGAAGCAAAAGGGTATTTCTTTTTAAACGCTAACACTGTACGTGATGATCCATATAAGTATTTTATATTTTTGCTACCGCGAGAAATGTCCTCTTTTGGTTTTGTGGAATTTGAAGAAGCAAGTTCTGTACAAAAAGCCGTGCAGGTCGGTTGGAATTAGAACTTATACTTAGTTGAACGTACATGGCTTTTGCCTGTTGTTATGAACTGTTTTGGTGTATGACATGCTTATTAAGATTATCTCGGATAACTGAAATTCAGTCAAGAATGTAACATTTCACACTTTATCATCTCTATTAACATATTGGTGCTCTCATTTCCTTTTGGCGTTTTTGTTTTTCGTGTTTTTGTCCAGGCAATACATTTTGTTTATCCTTACGACAATGATCTTGTGATATGCCTACCATTGTCTTTGCCATTGGTGTTATTTATAAAATCAAGACATAATGCCATTAACATTGGCTGGATTATGTGTATTTCAATTCTGTAGTCCATTCCTTGCTAAATAAATTAAGGTAGGTGTGAGTGTTTCTGATTCCCTGTTTATCTCTATTTGTTCCCATTATTTTATTTTATTTTTTTTTTCTTATTATTTTTTCAGCTGATGCATATCAAGGGAGTTGCTGCAAGTTTTTCTCCCCCTCCAATGGATCCTGGAAAAGCATCACTAAACAGTGAACACAATCAAAAGGGTAAAGGCTTCATTTCATATTGTTTTATATGCATGTTCATTTTTCATGTAATTGTCTTTAGCTGAATGTAATTTGTAGACACCTATCTTATGTTCAAGAAAAAAGATGTGCAGATTCTCAGACTTCTCCCATATCAATTGGTAAAATCTCTAGGCAAGTGTTCTTCTCGAGACATAATAATAAAAAAATCTATCCATTTGATGCATGCATTTGAAATTGGCTCGCTGACAGACCATCATAAGATTTCATACTGAGGTGTTGTCTCTTGAAAGAAGTGATATTTATAGGTAAACAACAATGACACCGACATGGCATTAAAGAGGAAGTTTGACCTCTCTCTTCACCTCTATGATTATGAACTCCGATCACTGATTCATCATGTAATATAATCACATGCACCCTCACCTCCATATTTCTTTTTGATTTGCATACACCCATGTCTTTTCTTCCATTCATGATGTTCTTTTTACCCTCCAAACAGAGAGATTCAGAATCCATGGGCTTGGAAACATTGGAGGTGGCAGTGACAATAAAAGGTTCAAATTCACATCATTTTGCTCAATAAAAGAAAACCCTAAGTTAAAAGAAGAATGGAGCCTGTCGAATAGCGAAACATCCCTGGTCCTTCTCCGTCTACCCGCAAAGCACATCGCCTACTGCAGATACGTATGCCGTAGTTGGCTCTCCCTAACGACTTCACCTGAATTCATCTCTGAGCAGCTCGACCATGCCCGTTCCGAATCCCCCCATCCCCAAGTCCTTTTCCACGATTCATCCCCCTACACAGACTTAGATGACGAGAACCCACTACAACCTAGGCCTCGTCTGCTTTTCCCCGAACACATTGATTATTGGCTCGATTAACGGCCTGATCTGCTCCACTGGCAACTGGATGTACTCCAGCTGGCCGACCCCCAATGACATCTGGATATGGAACCCATCCACTGGGCTCTCAAAGAAACTCCCCACGTGCATCCACAAATTCCAGCGTTTTTCCAATTATCAGGCCACATTTGCCTTCTGCTGGGACGAAGAGTCTGACGTGTACAAGGTGGTTAGAATCATTTCGAAGAAATGCGAACCAACCATCGCCGAGGTCTGGTCCTCGCATAATAACTCCTGGGAGGAGATTGACCACACGAAGCACCCTTCTTTGAGTTCTTTCTATCACCCATCACACCCTGTGAACGTGGTCCCAACCACCTCCTGCAATGTGTTTGTCGGGAATTCCCCCCACTGGGCTGTCCTCGATTATTATGGGAATCCCTTTATCATGTCATTTGATGTCAAAACCAACAAGCTGAAGCTATCATATTTCCCATCTCAACTATCTTCTCACCGGGAAAAAATCTCCGCCAGAATTACCAGTGGGCTTCGTTATCTTATTGTTACGAACTGGATGGGGAAATTGGCGGTGCTGGATGCTGTGGATGATCTTTCTGCCGATGATGAGTATGAGAAACTGGCCAATGTTCTTTCTGATACAGAGAGGACGGCGGATATATACTGGTTGTGGACCATGGAAGCTAATGGTCATTGGACTCGTTCATGTCTGTTTTCTTTTGGTTTTGATTTCCATTATTGCCTGAACTCTGTGGGGGGAGGGAAATTTATGCTGCTGCACAGGTATTCAGATATAGCATTTTACGACATTGTGGAGAGACGAGTTATTAGGACGTATGGAGTTCCCAGTGTATTCCCCAATAGATTGTCTTCGGGCTTTGACTTTGTTGGGAGCTTAGTGTCGATTGAGGGGTCTGAGCCCTTTGGGAACGATTTTAGCGGATTGATCACTCTCACCTGGCCGAATCATATGAACTCGAATGGGAAAAAACACCGCAAACAACTCTTGGTAAGTTCACATAGTATTAGTATTATTATTGGCAGCCTCTGTATAGTGTAAGCTTTTATTTCCCTTCATATTTTTTGGCTTAACATGATGCATTTTGTTGTCATACTTGCGGGTTTACAGCACAATTTTTTGTGATTCATGATTTATAGATGAACCATGCAATGCACATGCATCTTTATCAAAGCTTATAGTTAGTACTGACTCTTTCCCTCTCTTGCAGAGGCTTCCGGAAGAGGGTAAAATCTATGAGGGTGGAATGAAAAGTGATCCTGAAGAGATGGACGTCCTTGCACCTTTCTGGGAGCGTCAAAATCATTTTAATCCTTTTGGTATGCCTTGTGAGTGGCGTTGATTGGGGCAAGGAATGAGGGGCGTGATAGTTGGATTGTTGTTGTTAAATGCCAAGATGATAGTATCCGTCAATCTCTGATTAGAACCTTAGTTGGCTCTTAGAACTTAACTTGACAATGGTAATGTGTTTGGACATCTCTATTTATGGTCAAGCTTCATTTTAAGTTTTCATTTTCTTTCTAATAGTAGGGAGAATGGGGATGGGAACCATAAATATCAAGTAAAATGGAAGGTACAATGTTCATTTCTAGAAAGGCTTGTACCTGCCGAAAACCAATTCCCCATCGTTAACGACACCATTTACTGGAAAATCAACAAGTACACCTCAAGTGATCATGATATAATTCTTGGCACAGGGGGTTTCATCCTAAATAAGGCGAACATGGTGAGTTGTATTCAATTGGAATGCACTTCATAAACAGAAGTAGATAAATCGTGTGAAAGTAATATTACCTGAAATGAGCTAAATTTCGTTCTTGTTTCATTCAATCGGCAAGCACTTCCACATAAACCTCACGTGACATGGGAAAGTCTAGTTTATTCAAAAAATCAAAGTACGGTTCAGTTCAAAACATAACGAGTGAACACTGCAAAGCATGGAAGAGATAAAATATGAAGCATTTAAATCCATATCAAAACATTAACACACACATGTTAATGTATTAGTTAGTTTGTGTGTTTAATTTCGATTAGAACACTGCAAAGCATGGAAGAGATAAAATGTGAAGCATTTAAATCCATATCAAAACATTAACACACACATGTTAATGTATTAATTAGTTTGTGTGTTTAATTTCGATTAGAATGTTGTTGTTGCAAACTATTCATTTAGCCTTGATTCTTCAACCATTTTTGCACTTCAGCTTTTACAACCTAACATTGTTCATTCTATTTCCATCACAAGCATATTTTGCTATTCTCCATGTACAAACCTTGGAAATCCTAATTTTCATCACCACAACAAGGATTATGCGATAGGAGCTAGGGATATTAGTATTAGTTATCTGATTATTTTAGTATGTTGTTTTTGCAAGATGTAAGGATTTATGTAAGTTATGGATTTTATTTCCTTTTTTATTTTCTGTTGACTTGGTTGTTGTTGCCAATATGATAGAACTAGTGCATATCCCGTGCGATGTACAGAGGAGTTCATATTTTAAACCTTTTTTACACTTTATTTTAAATATAATTATTTATATATAAATACAAACAATGAGGTAAATAGGAATTCAGTTTTGAGATAAGGGGCGACTGATGTGTTGTCTGATTGATTAAAAAAGATAAGTGTTGGGTTTAGGGTTGCTAAAGAGGATAAAGAAATGGGCTGATATGGGAAGATGGTTGGGTCATTTCTTTCAGTTTGGGTCGGAGACTCATTATACAAGGGCCAGGGAATTATTACTTCAATAGGCCTAGGAAAATAAACCAATCTGGGCCGAATATACTCAACTGAAGTGGGCCAACCATTAATTTATTGAAGAAATTACACTCCTTACTAGCCTCTTTAAATTATATTACACCTTTGTACTCCTCATATACTTATTTTTAAATTTACCTAAAGAAGCTAAAATAATATCAATTGTACCTAAAACACACTTAACCGTTATTAATATTTTTTTAATGGTAATGAGATAATTAAGTGATAATAAATATCTTCTTCCCAAAAAAGGGGAAATCAAAAGGCAAAGTTCATTATCCAAACCACCCCACCACCCACTTCCCCGTCAATCCCAAATATCATCTTTCTCCTCCACCGATCTCCAAATTTCTTTCTTCTACAATTCGCAGAAACCCAAAATTCTCACAACAATCAAATCCTAAAATTCAGTTTCTTCTTCCCGCACCCGTGTAGGGCATCCGACAACAGGGTGGGCGGCGGTCGGCTTGCAAAGGTCGCAACCCACTGAAGGTCGGGGCCCGTCGAAGGTCGCCGAATAGAGCTCGAAGGTGATGTCGCCGGTTGTCGAGGTTTGCAGATCGACAGGGGTTGAGGATCGCGTTTTCCGTTGTTTGATTCCAATCACGTTTCCGTTGTTCGATTCGTTAATTGTTTATGCGGATTGAGAATTTCGCGACGGTTATATAGGTTATTGAAGCTGACGAATTGCGGTGGTTCCTGGCGGAGGTGCATGGGGAAGCGAACTCGATGGCGGACGGCGTCATCAACCGGCTAAAGCACGCACACTTGTTTCATAGGCGGGGGATGAATCTGGAGGTGTTCTTCAAGTACTTGTTCGGGGATGCTAATTCGCTGTTGGATTTGAAAATTGGATTAATTTTTCATTATTTATTGTTATCGAGAGGCACCAGTTTTCAATTTTGTTTTGTCTTCTTCCGCTTTTAGTGTAATTGTGACATTCTGACGGGGATTGAATCTCGAGTGTGTATCTTAGTATATTTTAAGTATATGTCGGTTCTGAAATCGATTTTGAGAAACGTTAACGCCCCAAAGATTCTTAAAGACATTTCCGGACTTATCCAAAAATGTTGTTTTAAAATTTCGAAAACCATTTATCGATTTATAAAACATTTGGCGCTACTTGAGAACTTTTCAAAGTTAAACACATAATCAACATAAAGGAAACGAGAATATTCAGCATAATTCAAGTTCCAGGACTGGATTTCAACATATCTAGCAATATGATTGTCAACATAATCCAAACTGATAAAAATAATCCACATGGTTCAACAGTTCAACCAATCCCAAAAGCAATAGGGAAAAATAACAAAGTCTGATAATCTCAACATAAATATCAAAGCATGCGGAAGTAATATAAAGCATCAATAGTGTTTGACCATCCACTCGTCTTCAGCCTCGTCATGCCCAACACGTGCTTAACCTGCATCCGCGAAGAGCAGGTGGGGATGAGCACAAATATAAACGAGGTGCTCACCACGATGCATAATATATTGGTAAGAAGCCTATACTAGAGTCATATGCAAGTACATGGTCAAAAGACATAACACACCACTCTCCTACTCATCACTATACTCATGTGCACACCTATC